GGCGGGGTTGCGGGGCCAGACAATGATCCTATGCCAGCTGGTCTAGAGGCTTGGAAGGGGTCACCGCCATAACGAGCATGTGGAACCATTGTTGGCGAGGCCGTGCAAGGGCAATCACGACACCATGCATTTGGTCCCTTTTGCTCTTTACTAGGACCCTGCTGATGAGAGGGATCAGAGGGAATGCCTGGCCAGCACAGGAGAGGGAGTCTTTGCTTAGGCCCTGCTGAGAACAAAACCAATGGCACTTTTGGGATTGTTGGTGGACAGATCCAAGTGGGAGTTCCTCCCCTCGGGAAGATGGCATAGGCCACCGTCAGGTAACGACCACTCGGGGTGAGAGGAGAAGTCTCTGCCGAGGTGAGCACCAGGGCATTCCTCACACCAGCAATGTGACGGCTTCCAGATGTCTGTTGTGGCTGATAGAGATGCCAGAATTAGAGAACCGAGGAATACACTCTCCCCGCTGCCTGGGGGTGTGGAACATCGAGGGTGTGTTTTCTGTCGGGACTTTCACCACCTGCATACAGGGAGGCAGGCAGACTCCGCAGGCAACCAGCCCCACTGATCTCTCAGACGTGTGTGCACAATGTCATCTCCTTCAGGAGCCACATCCCCAGGGTCTGGAGACCTCCAAGGTTTGCTCCCTGCCCGAGGCCTCTGACACTAACTCGCGCAGGTTTCCAATGGGGCCCGAGACCTTGCCAGGTGACAGCGACTCTCCAAAAGGAGAGGGCCCGAGAGAGGGTGGAGTCCGGGCAGCTGCTGGGCGACACTTTCCCAGAGGCAAACCGCTATTCCAAGGGGAGACGGGACCACTCTGATGGCCTGGACCAGCACACACCAAGGTGTCAGCATGTCCCACCCCGGGAGCTGGGCTCAGGGCATGGAGCAGTGATGCTGCAGAGTTCCCTGCATTGGGACAGCTCTAGTCTGACTGTATGTCAGGCCACAGACCTGACCCAGAGATCCCGGGTAGACACAGGTCCAGCCAGCACGGATGGCATGGCTCCCCGGCATAGAGAACGTAGCACAGCGTTCGGAAAGCCGTGCCAACGGTAAGTTATGTTCCTGCCTTAAAAACGTGCATCTTATTTCCCCTTTGAACTTTGCTTCCTTCCATTCCCCCCGCCAGGCTGTTGCAGCGCAAGGCTGATTTGCACTGAAAATTTAGATCAACAAAGGAACAAATTTGCA